GCTGAGGCAGGAGAATCGCTTGAACCCGGGTGGCAGAAGTTGTGGTGAGCCGAGATCACGCCATTGCACACCAGGCTGGACAACAAGAGTAAAACTCCGTCAAAAAAAAAAAAAGGAAATATTTATCTATAGTGAGACAAGTAATCAAAAGAAAAACATGGAGCCTTGGACATATAGGTCCATTTCTTCTAGGAGCTTTTGGTAATTTACCAGAAATGCTTCCACAGAAGTACTTATGATTTAAAGACTGGTATCTCTTTCACCCAGAACTTTCTCTAAGTCCTTCTACCAAAATTATCTCAAGTTGATTATAATTTAAATGCAAAACATAAAACTATAAACTCTTAGAATATAACATTGAGGCATGTTTTTGAGTCCCAGGGCCTAGTGACATGTTCTCAGACATGATACCAAAAGCATAATCCATAAAGGAAAAAAAAAAACAATTAATTGGACTTTATCGAAACTAAAAATATTTCATCTATGACAGTAAAAAAAATGTATGTATGCACAACAATCTGTATGTGATTGTTCACGACAGTTTTATTTTCAATGGCCCTAAATTGGAAAATCTAAAATACTCCTCAATAAGTGAATAAACAGATCGCGGCACATCTATATCATGAAATACTGCTCAGCAAAATCAAAACAAGACCTAACAACAATAAGAACAACAAAACGTGTTGTTAGATGCACCAACGTGGATGGATCTCAAGGGCATTACGCTGAGTGAAAAAAGCCAGTCTCATAAGGTCATGTAATATATGGTTCCACTATACAACCTTCTTGAAATATAGACAGTACAGGGATTGGAAACAGATTAGTGGTGGTCATGGGTTAGCCATGGCTGTAGTGCAGGGAGAGTATGGGTATGAGATAGAACAGTTTTGCATTTAGATTGTGGTATTGCCTATACCTTACACATGTGATAAACTGATATAAACTATATATATATGTTGTATCAATGTAAATTTCCTGGTTTAAATAGTGTGCTATAGTTATGTAAAATGAAATCATGGCAGAAACTTGATGAAAAGCACCCAGGACCCCCCTATCTTTGCACCTTCTAGAGACTTTATAATTATTTCAAAATAAAAAAATTAAAGCATAGATATGTAAGTTAGCACTTACACAAGTGGATTACTTTATTACTTCCGGGATATGTACAAATTTGAGTCCTCTTAGTCTCTCCATAATGTTACATGAGGTTGTTCTAACATAAAAAGGAAAAAACTACTTACAGAGCATTTTTAAAAATGAGAAGAAACTACTGCTGGTTTGTAGAGGACTAGATCCTAATCAGTAAGTAGAAAAATCAGTTAAGATTCTAATCATCTTTATTTTATCTTGGAACGCACACGATTCTTGTTTTATTTTTTACTTTTTAGAGACAGTGTCTCGCTCTGTCACCCAGGCTGGAGCACAGTGGCATGAACACAGCTCACTGCAGCCTCCACATCCCAGGCTCATGCGATACTCCAACCTCAGCCTCCTGAGTGGCTGGGACCGCTGGAATATGGCACATACTTGGCTTTTTTTTTTTTTTTTTTTTCTTGTAGAGACGAGGTCTCACTATGTTGCCCAGGCTGGTCTCAAACTCCTGGGTTCAAGCCGTTTGCTTGCCTTCCAGTCTCCCAAAGTGCTGAGATTATAGGTGTTAGCCACCACACCCAGCCTATGATTATTATTTTATTCATTAGTCTTTATCAATATTTAAAAGAAGATCTATCTTGCACATGTGCACTATTATACCTTACACATAAATGAGTTTGAAATGGTAAAACAGCAAACCTCTAGACTACAAAAGCCAAAGACATGTATTTGATACTTGAAAATAGAAAATACTATAGGCAATGACTTTTGCAAAATAGTGAGATATTTTCAGGTAACATTTATTTTGAAGGATTTGTTTTCCTACCAATGCAATGATAGCCTTTTCCCCCCTCTCACCACCGTCTCATTTGCTGAGATGAGTGAGCAGAGAGAGGGGACAAATGGATATACAGATATATGGGGGCCGGGGGAAAGAGAGAGAAACTGTGTTTTCTGGGGTAGGCACAGGTAATGGTAACAGACACCTGTCCAAAGTACACACATATATTTCTATAGTCCTAGTTTTGCACACGTATTACTCTAAAATGATGGCATTTTCTATCAATCTGCTTCGTAGCAAATACTGAGGAAAAACCAATCACTGGATCCAGGAGCCAAGAGCTAACAGAGACTCTGCTTTGTGTGTGAGCATTTAACTACTGTAGATGGAGACCTGCACGTATTTAAATTGAATATCAGTCCTGTGTAAAGAGTGATTATTCTGATGCTTCTCCGCATCAAATATAAAGTTATCATGGAGTCCAAAGACCATCAATAGAGGATTACTCGTAGCCCATCTAATTTTGGAAAACAATAGAAGAGTTTTCTGGTGTGAGGCGAACAGCCTGCTGTTTTCTTTGCCTGGAATGCATTTTCCTCCTGTTCTATATGCTTCACCTCCACTCCCCTTACCTACTTAATACCCACTCATGGCTCAACATTTGCTCAGCTGGTGTTTACCTACAATGCTTTCTTATTCCTTAGGTGAAAATAACTACTCCATGCTCCACTGCCCAGTCAGAGTTAAGCAGAACTTCTATTTTTTTTTTTTTCTTTTTAGGAATATAGAGTCGTTAATGTGGTCAGAATTAAGTTGCTATCAGTTAAAAGTAGCCTGTTGTAAGTGTATTTTATATAAGCCTCATAGTAATCACAAGCAAAATCTATATTAGATACAGAAAAGATATTTTTAAAAAAGATTTTAGGCCAGGCACAGTGGCTCATTCCTGTAATCCCAGCACTTTGGGAGGCCGAGGTGGGTGGATCACCTGGGGTCAGGAGTTCAAGACCAGCTTGGCCAACATGGTGAAACCCCTTCTCTACTAAAAAAATACAAAAATTAGCTGGGCATGGTGGCACGTGCCTGTAATCCCAGCTACTCGGGAGGCTGAGGCAGGAGAATCGCTTGAACCCGGCAGCTCTCTCTGTCTCTCTCAGTCATTCTCTCTCTCTTCCTCAAAGCTGTAACAAAATTCCATAAGGAAAGGAATTTCAATGTGTTTGTATTTGCCTCCATAGAATCTAGTATAATGCTATGTGTACATACATACACATATGCATGTACATAGCACACACACACTTATATACACAGGGCTTGCATAGAGGAATAAATTCTGCTTTTAAATTTTCTATTTAAAAAGATACTTCAAAATTCCCTTCAAATTTGATGAAACCAAAAGCTTTGATTTACCCAGACTTTGAGGGTTTTTCTTCTATGGGACATACAATTATTCCATAGTGACACGTCCGAAGATAATTTTCATATTCTCAGAGGAGGCTGAAGGTAGGATTTTGTGAATCTTTGATAATAGTTACATGAATATTGAATGTTTGCATATTGAACTTGCATGTTCTATTAATACCATCTCTGGAAACAGGGTCATTTGGTTATACCAAGTTTTTTGTATTTATTTATTTATTTCAAGAATATCTATTTAAATATATGTAACTAGAACTACTGGCAGATAACTTAGATCTATATGGAAATTATGAATAAACAAAAGTAGATGTGAATGAAGCCAAGAAACTCCTAGTGTTATAACACAAAATCTTTACTCTAGCCTTGTTTAGAACCAGTTACAGGTGTGATTTTACTCTTTTTGTGCAGTGGTCCACTTTGTCAGTCTGATTTAAAAAAAAAAATCAGAAAACACCCTCCTCAGAGTAATATAATGTCATTAAATAGGTAAAATGAAATACATAGGTTTACAGAGAGAAACAAATCATATTGAAAGCCGATTTTAACTAAGGAGGCAGGAAACAGGATTACCTTTTTTAAAAAATTTTTTTGGTTAAGCAAACTTATCTTTCCTAACATCTAATACTTTTCAAATTTGTCCATGTTTGTTTGCTGCTTATGAAAACCAAATTAAAGCAAGAGGTAATATTTTTTCCTGAATAATTTCATCATGACCGTATTCTCGTAATGAAAAAAAAACAGAACACTAAAGCTAGGGTTAACAGATAAAACATAGAACATAGCTTAATTGAATTTTAGATAAAGAATTAAAAAAATAGTATAAGTATGTACCAAGTATTGCATGGGATTCTCTTACTAAAAATTTGTTATTTATCTCAAATTCAAATTTAAATGGACATTCTGTATTTTTATTTGCTAAATAGGCAACCCTTCAAAAACCAGTCTATGGTTAACAAATGTTAGCGGTCAAATTGCTGTGATCATGCCCTAAGCAAGTAGAATCAGATCTACTAAGATTCTTATTTTATCTCTGCCTGACAAATATTAGCTTTATAGGTTGGTTTCAGAGCTGTTCCTACATCATATTTTATGAGTTTTGGGAAGGCAAATCTTTGCTAAAATAAGACTTAATTCTGTGCTTTAATGTTTTATTGATGATAATATAAAAGTGGTAATAAAAGAATACTTCACTTTTGCAAAAGGCAATTGAAGATACTGACTGATATTTTTCCCAAAAGTCTGTCTAGTTGTAGTGCCAGGAAGAAAATATCTCTTCCTAGATTATCTACTGAAATTCCTTTTATCTGCAAGAAAGCGTCATTCACTACCTTTTCTCTTTCACCTTTCTGCAAAAGACTAAGAGTTCAGATAATAATGTTTAATAGTTATTAAAGGCCGGGCGCGGTGGCTCAAGCCTGTAATCCCAGCACTTTGGGAGGCCGAGACGGGCAGATCACGAGGTCAGGAGATCGAGACCATCCTGGCTAACACAGTGAAACCCCGTCTCTACTAAAAATACAAAAACTTAGCCGGGCGAGGTGGCAGGCGCCTGTAGTCCCAGCTACACGGGAGGCTGAGGCAGGAGAATGGCGTGAACCCGGGAGGCGGAGCTTGCAGTGAGCTGAGATCCGGCCACTGCACTCCAGCCTGGGTGACAGAGCGAGACTCCGTCTCAAAAAAAAAAAAAAAAAAAAATAGTTATTAAAGTGAACTTATCTGTCCTTCTGTTAAAACATTTTGAGACATGTCCACATTTTATTTTCATTTTAACTACCTTATTTTATTCACATTATTATTCTAAGCCCGATCAATTTTTACAAAATGATCAGATTATAAGTCCTAAATGAAATACCACTAATTTGAATCATATTCAGAATGTAATTTGTTAAGTAAGAAATTGTACAAGAAATGTGATAGATCGTGCAAAAATTATAGGTCTTAAATCCTACATATCTCTAATCAAATGATTTTAATACTAATTTTCATTACAATTAAAGGATTCAGTAAGGATTGTAAGTACTTTCGATTATGCTGAAGACTCGGAACAAGTTCTGATATTTTAGCATAGATGACAGGATGCATGCAATGTATCAGCATGTAAAATGAAGGAAAGATAGAAAAACAGTCACGGCAATTTTGTGCAGTAGTACTATCATGCTGCTGTGCACGTAAAACAATTTAATCACACATAACATAGTAATAATGCTTACTTATTGCTAGAAAAACAGGATTTTAATTATTTTAATGATAAATCTGCTTTATAATTAGGCGGAAAAGCAAGCTGTGAAAAAGCAACTTTAGTACTTAATTCTAGTGTTAATTTCAAAAACAAACAAATAAAAAACTGAAAAACAAGCGAACACAAAGACATGCTGAAATGGTTCTTTTAGAGTATTACAAGCCGTATGGTGCTTTGTAGTTTACAAGTTTTATACCCATGCCTGAATGCATTTTGATCTCAAAGCATCTTTTGGGGTAGGTGTGGCAGGCATTATTGTTCATTCCTACAAATAGAGTTTAAAATTTTTAAGAAAATCATTTTAGTACTTTATTGAAAATGCTATATTTGCAGCCTTAACTCTTGATGTTTGTAGAACATTGAATTTTATTGATTGTAAGATAAATTTATTTCAACTGGATTGTTTACAGTCAATAAACTCTAAAATCATGTCACGGAGGTAGAGTCAGATTATGGTTGCCATTTACCTGTGTATGTGCAAACCTCAAAAACCTCAGTCTTCAAACTTGGAGAATGAGCGTTCTTGTGGAAGATTATTCTTCAGAGATGATAGTGGAGTACTCTTTAAAACCCTAGGTACCAGGCCGGGCGCGGTGGCTCACGCCTGTAATCCCAGCACTTTGGGAGGCCGAGGCGGGCGGATCACAAGGTCAGGAGATCGAGACCACGGTGAAACCCCGTCTCTACTAAAAATACAAAAAATTAGCCTGGCGCGGTGGCGGCGCCTGTAGTCCCAGCTACTCAGGAGGCTGAGGCAGGAGAATGGCGTAAACCCAGGAGGCGGAGCTTGCAGTGAGCCGAGATCGCGCCACTACACTCCAGCCTGGCGACAGAGCGAGACTCCGTCTCAAAAAAAAAAAAAAACCCTAGGTACCAAATTGCTGGAGAAGTGTTTGAAGGATGTGATGGATCCCATATGTTTTACCAGCATACTATAAGTTGAAATCAAAAGTTGACTGGTCTTACATAATTGCAAAGTCAGATGTCAGATGCCAACATCAAAAGCTCTTCGAAAATATCACATAACCAATGCTCTTTGTAACCCAAGGGATGACAGTGTGTGGAAAAGCACAAACGTCAAGAACTCTAAACCTAAAAGTTATTTAGACAAGTTAAATTCCAAATGTGAAGCAATTATAGACTGTTAATATATTTGCCTTGTAAATTTGTATGTATATGCATGATAAAAATCTATCACTAATTAAGAGTAAAAAACTTGCAACATATATAAGCTTTCTAGATATTAAAATGCGTATCATTTAATTGAATAGATGTTTTCCCTCTTGTTACATAGAATAAAGTGTATCTATCTAATAAAGACGTGTGAGATTTGAGTAATACTGTGCTAAATACTTACTATCTTGAGTCCTGGTTTGGAGCTATTTTGTCCCATTTATCTGTCAATTCTTTCACTAGTACCACAACATTTCAATTATTTTATGCCTATAGGGCATGCTAACATTTTATGGTAAGATATTATTTCTCTATTATTCTTCATTTGCAAAATTCACTTGGCTATTCTTTCATATTAGTTTTTCAAATGTAACTGCAGAATTAGAATGCAGAATTGCTTCAAAAGCACTCCACACTGCACAGCAAGTGAGACTGCATTGGAGTCGTGAGCAGCAGGCCTTTTCCACCCTTGGGATCTAGAAACACAAGATGCCTTTCCATTTCTTCTGTTTTTCAAAGGTTACTGTGTTTGGGAAAGAAGTTTTTTCCTTTTTTTTTTTTTTTTTTTCTGCTCTGGGCTATATATCTTTCGTGTTAACTTTATTCTCTGATAGATTATTTCTTCTGCTTATTGCTGAAAGATGAACAACACATTTTATGAAGATTTGTGTGAGAATAGTGGATGAAAATTTTGGTAGATATTAGCATTTGTTTATTTGGAAACACACGCTTAGAGAACATTCCCACTCTGACCAGACTAGAAATCTGAGGTTTGACAAGGGTGATTTAATTTCACACCTTTTCCCTCTCTGTCTCTCTCTCTCTCTCTGTAAAGAAAACAGTCATCAGCATAAGATTTAAAATCTTAAATGTACAATATGTTTGACTCATCTGATATATTCCACCTTTGCTGCGATGACCTTCAATACAGTAAAAATACCACACTCATGCATTAGAATCATCCGTGCAAACTAAAGTGTATAAGTGTAAAATTTTAAAGAAATCACCAACTTCAAATAATTTGTTTTGATAGAAAGAAAAGGAATTTGCAGTAATACCTGAAACATTTACACTGATGTTTTTTAAAAATATGCTATTAAAAATATGAATATTTTCGAGACAATCTGAGATGACTGAATTATCAATTGTGTAAAAGGCAATTTAGAATTTTTAAATTATCAATGTATGTAAAATATAGGATTTGTTGCATCCTTAAATTATTGCTTATTTTTTAATAGTACAAAATAAAGCAAAGGCTGTGTTTCAGATCAATGTTAGTTTTTACTCTTATCTATATACAATTGGTAAATGAGGAAAATGTCAGTGACAAATCTAAAATGAAAATAAAATATGATTTTTAAATAAATTGTGCAATAATTTTTCTTTTGAAATTATGAACAATATAAATATTTTATCATAGTTTTCTTTAGTTTTCAAAATATCATATTTGTGAATATAATCCATTTAATCATAAAAAATTATAAATGACTAATGATACAAGAAAAAAGGAAATAGAGAAGATGCTATTGTAAAAAAAGTTGAAAAGCAGTGTTTTCCTGCTATTTAACGTTGAAACAGAAAACTTTTTTTGTTGCAATGATTCTTTAGTATAATACCAAAATTCTGAAGAGAACGTTTTCAGGCTACCATATCACCACATCAGCATAGCCAGAGACCAATCAAACAGTGAGCTCTAAACTATCTTTACTATATTGAAAACTCCAGCATACTATCTTTACCAAGGTAAATTATCCCTGTTATGACAAGTTTTTGTTTTCCTAAGTGAAAATTTAGAAAACTAGAGGTCATTTAGTTTAAAAAAGTAGTTGAAATACAATTCGTTTCTCGTATGTATCTTAAACTGTTGTTTCAAACAAACTTCCTTATGCAGTGCTGCTATCTTTTAATTCCCTCCACATTTTTCATTGAACCATCTTTTTAATTTTTCTTTTTTCTTTTTTTGAGATGCAGTCTCACTTTGTAGCCCAGGCTGGAGTTCAATGGCGTGATCTCAGCTCACTGCAACCTTTGCCTGTCAGGTTCAAGCCATTCTCTTGCCTCAGCATCCAAGGAGCTGGGACTAAAGGCATGGGCCATCACACCCTGCTAATTTTTGTATTTTTAGAAGAGACGGGGTTTCACCATGGGCAGGCTGTTCTAGAACTCCTGACCTGAGTGATCGGCCCACCTCGGCCTCCCAAAGTGTTGGATTACTGGTGTGAGCCACCGCGCCCGGCCAACTAGTTTTAACTAGAATATTACCTTCAGCCTGGCAGTTAAACAATTCAATCCAATAGTTACATACCTTAAGAACATTTAGAGAAAACACCATAAAATTATTAAAACTTCGAGCAAAAATAATTCCCATGATTAGAGATACGAAAGTCTGGCATTAACTAAGTTGAGAAAGAGCAGTTGGAACAGTCTGGAGAATAATAGGAGATGTTATGTTGCAAGGTCATTGAACAGATGGTTCTGCATTTTTTTTTTTTTTTTTTTTTTTTTTTGAGACGGAGTCTCGCTCTGTCACCCAGGCTGGAGCGCTGTGGCCGGATCTCAGCTCACTGCAAGCTCCGCCTCCCGGGTTCCCGCCATTCTCCTGCCTCAGCCTCCCGAGTAGCTGGGACTACAGGCGCCCGCCACCTCGCCCGGCTAGTTTTTTGTATTTTTTTTAGTAGAGACGGGGTTTCACCGTGTTAGCCAGGATGGTCTCGATCTCCTGACCTCGTGATCCGCCCATCTCGGCCTCCCAAAGTGCTGGGATTACAGGCTTGAGCCACCGCGCCCGGCCGGTTCTGCATTTTTATAGTTAACACTACTAATTGGAATGGATTTAAAATTTAGCAAACACTGAGTTCTTCAAGTGCCAATTGTTAAGAAAGAGAGGCATACATTCTTTCTAAGTGGCTTAGTGGTCGTACCTGATTATTATGGGCTGGATGTGGACTGCATAATAAGACATAAAATTGATAAGAGGTACCATGGCCTGATAATGGTACTCATTTTTTATGTGTATGCATAATTTAAGCTATGTTTTTCACTCACATGTTCTAATCACTTTGCATTTTTTCTCCTGTACTGTGTAGGATTTGAGAGGTGAGGTGAAAGGAAGAACCCAAACAAAGAGATTGTTCTTAAAGGCATGTTAGGGTCCTTTGGGTTAATTATATGAGGTTGGCTGACAGCACCTGATAAGACCGTTGAGGTCATTCTGTTGTTGACATCTCTTCAATCTCAATACTCCACGAAGCAAAGGCCAAGGCAGACAGAGCTTTTCCACTATCTTTATAGCACAAACTGCTATGCTGAAGAGAGAAGACACACACGCTCTCTCTCTCATTCTTACACCCCCACAAAACCTGAGAAGCCCAAAATGCCACACACTTTGTTGATGACAAGGTCAGCACGATACCTTAGAACCATTCATTTCTTTCCACTCCGCTTCCCTTTCAATATGCAATTTTAACATCATAATTTTTACCACCAGAATTTCACAAAATGTCTGCTAATTGCTATGTGTCCAAAAAGGAAACCAAAAGAAAATGGTATTTTGCTTTAGACATTAACAAAATGTGAAGGGTAAATGAAGCTATGTCTTAATAGGGTGGGAGATGCACAGGAGCAGGGCAAGAAACAGTATGCAAGACTGAACTAGTCACTAGAACTAGTCACTAGTCTCACTAGTCTCACGTTCTCTCGTTGATGACATCATGCAGCCCTATCAATAATAAATGAATACATATTTATTGAGTGCTTATTAAGACCTCCACAAAGCTCTGCCTCTGTATGTACGAGTGAGATGAAGGCACTGTTCTCACAGGAAGATTATAAAGCATCTGGGGGAAACATTAATGCACGACACAGATCATAAGAGACAAGCTTCGTAGTAAAAACGGTAAAGAACACATGAGTTCCTCCAGTGCAGGGGTCCCCAGCCACCGGGCCGTGGACCTGGTACCTGTAGTGGCCTGTTAGGAACAAGGCTGCACAGCAGGAGGTGAGCAGTGGTGAGCCAGGAAAGTTTCATCTGTATTTACAGCCGCTCCCCATTGCTCCCGTTACCACCTGAGCTTGGCTTCCTGTCAGATCATCTGTGGCATTAGAGTCTCACAGGAGAATGACTCCCATTGTCAACTGTGCATGCAAACGATCTGGGTTGTGCATTCCTTGTGAGAATCTAACCGGCTGAGTGTCATGACTCACGCCTGTAATCTCAGCACTTTGGGATGCTGAGTCTGGTGGATCATTTGAGGTCAGGAGTTCGAAACCAGCCTGACCAGCACGGTGAAACCCTGTCTCTATTAAAAATACACAAATTAGCTGGGAGTGGTGGTGCATGCCTGTAATCCCAGCTACTCAGGAGGCTGAGGCAGGAGAAATGTTTGAGCCTGGGAGGCGAAGGTTGCGGTGAGCACAGATCACACCACTGCTCTCCAGCCTGGGTGACAGAGCAAGATTCTGTCAAAAAAAAAAAAAAAAAAAAAAAGAGAGAGAGAGAGAATCTAACTAATGCCTGATGATCTGATGTGGAACAGTTCCATCTTGAAATCATAGCCCTACTGCCAAGGTTCATGGGAAAATTGTCTTTCATGAAACTTGTCCCTGCTGCCAAAATCGTTGGGGACTGCTGTTCCAGAGGATTGATAGTGCATGACCATTAATCTGTGTCATGGGAGAATACAGTTTTTTTGTTTGATTGTTTTTTACTTTATTTTATTTTTTGGAGCCCCCTTCTGGGCAAGAAGGAAATGGATAGATGAAAAATATGCCTTATACACAGAACCAAGACTGGAAGGGTGGAGGTGGAATCAAATGTTCCTGCAGTTGGTAAGCCGCCGTAGTTTGGAGCACTTTGGCATGTATCAAAGGAAAGCCAGGATAGTGTGGTTAGGAATCCATACTCTGTAAGTAAAATCTGCTCGTGCCATTTGGCAGGCTTAGTTCAATTATTTTGAATGCTATAAAAATAGAGATGGAGGAGAAAAAAAGATTTCAAAGTTGGAAATGAAATAGGAAGAATGTTCAGGCAGAGATTGAGGCAAGAAGAGAGTAGAGCCCAGGCAGAGCTTATCAATGTGAATCAGTCTCACCATAG